AAAAAAGTATTTGAAGTGCTTTTCTAGTTGGGAAAAGGCAAGCATATTTCCAGCCCCACATGAATGTTGAAGTTTTCTTTTCATTTTAATTAAATCACGTGGATTGGTTATTTCAACTTTACTTTCTTGTCCTTCTCCTTCCCCCTCACCCCCCTCCTTCCAGCCTCAGGATCTGTCAATGTGAAGAATGAGTAAAGATGTCAAAAGTTGGATATAATTAAACAGATGTGATGAAAAAGGGGTGTTGCTTCCAAATAGAATGGAAGGCGGTGGTGTTGCCTGAGGCACATTATTTCCTGGTCACATGGCCATCCTTAATCTGAAGATCCAGCAGTGATTGTGGAAGGTAAACTGGAAATATAAACTTTCAGGGACTGGGTCTTTGCTTTCCTTTCCCTGTCCTGTCTTTGGTGCATTGTCTATGGCCTATCACATAGTAGGGACTTAAATGCTTGTTGGATTGCTATGAACTAAAGCAGTTATACAGAAACCAGAATAACACAAATAAGAAAGGAGCACCAGGGAGTCAAATGCTTGCCTGTTTGTTTTCTTCTGAGTATCCTTGCTTGCTTGATCTCATTGAAGTTCCTAATAAATGAGTCCCACATAGGGGAAACCCTCTTAAATAATCCTCACTAACATGTCCTGGGGATAACATTCTTTTCCAGCCCCATATATGGTCACAGACTAAATCAAGTGAATGTGAACAAACTTCTGTTTATTTAGTTTCTGTTTTTTCTTGTCAAGGAGAATGATCCTCAGCCTGAAAACCCTATGACCAAAAATTATATTCCACAAACATTTGCAAGGCACTTACGCTGTGCTAGGCATTGAAGATATACAAGCAAAATAACACGGATCCCGTCCTCAAGGACGGACCCTTTTAGGGGGAGGATGTAACATGTACAAGGAAAGATAAATAAAAGGAAAGGAGGTGAGACCTCAGACTAAGAAGGGGAATAAGTATAGGAGAGGACATCTGACATTATCCTTGAAGGGATCTAAGAAACAAGGTTGGGGGGGGAATTCATTTCATGCCTGGAGAATAGCTTGTGAGGAAAACATGGAAACTGGAGATAGAATGTGGGGTTTGGGGAATCCTAAGCAGGCCAGTTTGACTAGAATGCAGAAGGTGAGCGACTGGCATTAGAATAAATGACTCTCCACTACTCATCCCTTTCATTTCTGAGATTCAGATATTCTCAAAATTTAAACTATCATTATTAGCCATATTTAATAAATGTCTTCTGTTTGAATTCCATCAAGGGAGATTTTTCTAAGTGCAAATGACAAAGGGATTTCATGCATTTCATGGTTGTGGTGACCAAAATGACATCGTGATGCTAGAGTCAAGTTACAGTGTGTCCAGCTGTGGCTGATCAGACCGATACGAGCTCCAAATGTTCTACCACAGGTTGGACATAGGGAGGGGGACTAGACCTACCATTTCATTGGAGGACTTCCTCCAATAAAGCAGGTCTCCAAGCTCTTTCTAACTAATAATTTTAGCAATTTGCTTAGACCACTGAGGGCTCAAGTTACTTTTCTTGGGTCACATAGCTACAGGGTGCAGACATGGGCCTTGAACCCAAGTTGTACTAGCTCTGAGGTTGGCCACTCTATCCATTATCCCACACTGCCTCTCATTCCTTAAGATTTTCTTTGGAAACCCTAGGCAGAAATCTGAAAATGTAAACCACCTTCCAAGGGCATCTACCGAGTAACCCCCACCCCCAACCCTTCTTGATTTTTACTATGATATTAGTGAGTTTAATACTTTTTTTTCCTGGCTTTTCAATTGCCTCTTCCACTCTTGCTCCCTAACAGTCAAATTATTTTTCCTACCAACTCCAGTGTGCAGTCATCTCTCTCAGCTTTTCATGAGGCAATAAACTGGCATGTTCTCCTCATTGTCAGTCTTCAGGGCGCCAAGAAGGTAGACTGATTCCCTTGACATTTCTCACTGTTACCTTATGGGCACCTGCTTCCTCTTTCTGCCTCAACACCTTTAGAAAATCTCCTTTGTTCTCACAGCTGTGGATGAATACTCCTCTTTGCTTTGCCAAGAGATGTACCAGCATGTACCATAATAATGGAATCCTTAGAAAGGGGTTGGGAGGCCTTGAAAATGAACATTGAGAGAGAACTGGGCAGGGTGAGACAGTGTGTGCTGACCTACATCTACAAATACTATGTGGCTTGTATAGAGAACCATGAGTTCTTGGCAAACTGTCCCTTCCAGGAAGTGCAATGTGTATGTTATGTATAAGGGATCTTTTAGTCTTCTTTAAGCAGGATTATAGGATTTGGATCTGGAAAGGACTTTAGAGATCTAGGCTGAGCCCTTCATGTTACAGATGAGGAAGCTGAGACCCTTAAAGGTAAATGCCTTCAGATCTGGGCTTCAAATCTGGGTCTCAGACTCAGACACTAGTGCTCTTCCCTCCAAAAGTACTACTTATATCATGAAAAATTGCATGCTTTTCTTTTGCTAGTTGTTATTAGCTGTAATGTATGTCAGAAGGGCAAGGGAATGTTCAGGAATTAATAGCACAGATCTTTGAGTTTAGGCCAATGGCTTTGTGCAATTAGATGATTTGGTGATTGCCAGTTGATTAACGTTACTGATTGGACTGTTCCATCCACGGGGCCTGAGCCACTATGGACATTATGAAAAAGAAAAAAAAAGACACTGTGATTGGAAGTGAAGACACGGTGGCTATGACTTAAATTAGACCCGCATAATACACAGCCCGTGGGCCGCTTGAGGACCACCAAAGGATTTCGGGTGGCCCACAAAAAATGTAGGGTTGCCGCTGTGCACTCTCTTATTTGTCATGTTACCTGTGGCAACCAACCATCGTCAGTCAGTCTTTAGTCTAACCTATCTGCAGCCAAAGAAATTTAGTCTATTTTAATTTTGGTCCTTACCCACCACCAAGTTGTGCAGGTCTGACTTAAATGAGAAGTTATAAAAAAAAAAAAAGAAACAAAAGAAAAACAGACTTGGGAAAGAAGCAGTTTAATGTGTGTGTGTGTCCATATCCCCACCAACTTCTACCAGCCTGTGTCCATAGTGGGAAGCCTGGGTTTAAAGCTCAAATGAGATAACATACATAAAGAACTTTGCAAACCTTAAAGAGGCATATAATAAGATATGATGTATTATCGTCATATCATTGTTCTTCTGTGTTTTATGTCATTCAGATAGAAGTGATTGTGGGGCAACTTCCTATCCTAATATTACTCTTTGAAAGTTAATATTCTATACACTCCTATGCAGATGGTTAAAATAACTCAATTTTGTGGTTACATAAAAATTTTAGAATATAAATGCTGTGTAGGCTCACTGAAAGCATACTTGGTATAGCTCTATTAATGACAAGACAGTAGGGTTGTGGGGATGATGTGTTCCAACATGATTTTCATCTCCTCTGTTTGGTCCCTAGGAAAGCTTTTCATTCCATGAAGCTTGGAGATGAGTGCTTGATATGGTGAGTCAAGTAAAGGTAACAGGCATTTATTAAATGCCTACTATATGCTAAGCTATATCTATCAAAGGTATTCTTAAATTTTTGTGGATCAATATTCTGTCCAGTTTGAACTGTCACAATCATTTGCATCTATTATAGTTCATTAGTAGACTTCTCTAGGATATTTTGGGGATCTGAAAAACACTACCTTTTAAGCCAATTGTACTTGACATTATTGTGTGAGTGGCATGTTTTAAAGAGAAAATGGTTTTCCATCTGGATATCAGATACTCTAATCTCTCACTATACTCAGGTCTATTTCATATATTTGCTATAATAATCCATGAGAACAGAACTGAGACAAAGACTGTGATAAATAAAATAACTATATGTTCAGCACTTTCTATACTTTATTTAATAACTACTGCATTGTTAATCAATTAATCTCTATACCTTTAGCACTTTTTGGCACACTCTTTTTGCTCTTCTAATATTATTTTCTTTTAAGTGTTTATGGATTTTTTTTTCTTACACAATCTGAGCATTTTTTATGGAAAGCGTCTAAACATGTAATTGACCTATACTTGAAGGGTCATTGTTGTTCTTGTCTTTTCATCACAGAAATGTGATGCTTTCAGTTAAGAAATGTAGAATCATGCTTGCATCTGAGAGGAAGTTAACAAAGAGCTATAATTTGTGTGCCGCCATGAAGCATTTGAGTAAATAATTATGGCTTACTTTCAAGTTTTGCAGTGACTTCCATGGATTCTGTTGTTCCATTCTATTCTGTTGCACATTATATTAACTATTTTATTGTTCATTATAAGTGGTGCACATCGCTTGATTGATTGATTAAACAATAAACGTTTATTAAGCACCTACTATGTGGCAGGCCATGTGCTAAGCATTGGAGATATGAAGAGAAGCAAAAGACAATCCCTGCTCTCAAGGAGCTCACAGTCTAATGAGGACAACATGAAAACAACTATGTACAAACAATCTATTTAGAGGGTAAATTGGATATGATCAATAGAGAGGAGGTACTTTCAGTAAAGGGCATTGAGAAAGACTTCTAGAAGATCAGTTTCTCACTTGATCTAACTTGTATTTTAATTATATTGGGGCTCCATATAGAGAGTCCATATAAATGACCAGCAACATTCCACATCATCCTCTTGCAGGGAATCTTTCCATTTCTGATTTTTTTTCTCTTTACCTGCTATCATCAAGATTTTGACTGATGTTGAATTTTTATTTTGTTCTTTGTATTGTTGTCTTTGTAATCACCTTAAACCTTTGACTTTTGTTTTCAGTCGCTGATCAAAGGAAGGTTGAATTTCCAATGTGTTTTTGTTTTCCAGCTTTCTTTCTCCAGGTTCCTTTTCCTTTGGGTGATACTGTTCTGCAGGTACCAGCTGGCTGCCGAATGTCGTCTTCCAGTGACTTTCTGCATACCTCCAGTAATGCCCTGGAGTCACTTTGGCCATGATGCTGTTTGAGGCCTCGTCTTAAGAGCATTTCCTGAAAGTTCTACCTTTTCTCCCAGGGTTCTTATCATGATGACAGCTGCCATCTTTGCTGCTGTGTGAAGGTCCTGAAATGTTTTTATGTTTCCTGTCAAATACTGTGGGAAAATGTGCTCCTTCATGATGGTAATAGCAGATACCAGCTCTTTTTGAGTTACCCTCTTCCCGTATAACTGCTCTGGTCATTGGATTTATGCTGTTAAACTCAAAACTGACTTAAAAAAAAATTTTAACCCAAGTATGTCAGTTTCCTTTTTAAAATTATTTGAGATGTCCATGCTGTTTGTTATTAGGTTTAATTACTGAAGTTTGAGTAAAGATTTTCATTGTTTTCAAGGACTTCACCCTTTTCCTTTTCAGACTTTTGGGAGACGCAACATATAAACAGAAAAGTAAATAAACGGTAAGTTGAGGTGGGAGGGAGTATTAACTAGGGGTATCAGTAGAGGAGAGAGCATCAGATCTGATCCTTGAAGGGTCCTGTGAAGCAGCAATTATTAGCTTCTCTATTTTTTTTCCTTATTACATCTAATCTTGGTTTAGAGATGAAAATTTCTTTCATGATTGGCTTACATTCATCTTCATTATATTTTTATTTTGCTTTGTGACTTGAAGCTAAGTGGATCATTGGCAAAAAGCTATCTAATGCCTTTGTCTGTAATTGATGAGATCAGTTTCTAATTTTCTTATCATAGAATATTGGTGCATAACAAAAGTATTCATGGCAACAGTCCATTCACACACAGTCATGGTTTGCTGTCTTTAATGGTCAGTGTAATCTGCAGTGAAGAACTTTTAGCAGGCATTTTTTCATTTTGTTCTGATATATCCTGCCTGCTTGTGGTATTAGACACCCACTCGTTCTGCTCTCCTCTGTGCCAAGCTGATCAATCATCAGGATGATTTTGATCAGGGCCAGCTTGCAATCCTCTGCCCTTCTGTCTATTTCTTAGCACCACAGGAGCAGTATCATCACAGCGGCCACAGCGCTAAACCAATCACTCGTGTTGCCGGCGCTAACTTGGCTAGCTGCACCGTTCCTGCCCTGCCTTCACAGCTACTGGAGTCATCTCAGGGCACAGAAAGTCCCCACTGGTATTCCTTCCCTTTCATACAGCCACTTTCCCACCTTCCCACACACAACATGGATGTGGAGTTTCATTTTAAAGTGTTGTATTCTTAGTGTATTTGACTCATTCGCCTACAAAATGAAAGATGGGAGAGGTTCTCAAATATTACCAAGCGCCTGATACCAAAACCCCATTTTCCTCTTCATTGGATTGTGGGAATGCAGAGAAAAGAATCATGAATGGCAATGTGTTATACAGCTAAGAAGCCTGGGACTGAAGTGATGAGGTCTGGCACCACAGCATTACATCATTTAATTCAACTGCTCTGAGCCTTAATTTCTTCATCTGTAAAATGGGTTTGATAACGGTATCTATTCTACATACCTATGAGGCTGTTCTGAAGATAGTGCTCTGCAAATCTGCAGATGACATGGAAATATCAGTTATTATAAGACTGTGTCTCATGGGAGAGGACAGAAGGCAGGTCTTGGGGTCAGCGTGACCTGGTTCAAGTCCTGCCTCTCACATATATTGGCCATGACCAAAGGCGAGATGTTTGACTTCTCAGTGCCCTCAGGAAAGTCCCCAAGACTCAGTCTTTTTTATGTCTTAGATTCCTTTGGCAATCTGGTAAAACTTATAGGCCCATTCTCAAAAAAAAAAAAGTTTTTAAATGCATAAAACCCCAAATAAAATGAATGAGGTTCCAAAGAAAAACAATTCTGTTGAAATAAAGATGTATTTTTTTTCTCATCCAAGTTCACAAACTTCCTAAAATCTATCCATAGACTGTTTGGGGGTCCATGAACCCCAGGTGAAGAACTCCTATTCTAAAAGGATAGTTTTTTGGGGAAGCACTAGCAGCTGGGGAGACAGCATCAGGAAAGACTTTAGGGAAAAGGTGATATTTGAGAAAAGCCTTGGAGGAAGCTAAAGATTCTAAGAGGAGCAGTTCTGGAGGGAGTACCATCTCCGTATGAAAGATAGCCAGTGGGAAGGGCACAGAGACAGATAGAAGTTGGAGATGAATGTGTGAGGAACAGTGACAAGGTCAGTTTGGCTAGAACATAGTGTATAGAAAGTGGAATAACTTGTAATACGGCTGGAAAGGTAGGATGGAGCCAGGTTGTGAAGGGCATTACATGACAGCGAGGAGTTTCAAACCCTTCACAGGAGACCTGGTTTCAAATTCCCTTCTTGGATATTTACCTATTGAATGACTCAGGATCATTGGTTATTTCATTTACCTGAGCCTCAGCTTCCTTATCTGTAAAATGGGGTTAATAATGCTTGCCCTCCTTGCCTACTAGGGTTAATTTAAGGAAATTGCTTCAAAGTGATTATAAATGTTGTTTTTGTTGCTTTTTCAGCTGACATTTCTCCTCCTTGTGATGGCATGTAAGCTCTAGCTAGAAATCTGATCTGGCTTCTTGTCTCTGCTTTGGCAAAGCAACTTATTGTTGAATTAAACATGGCATGCTGGGTCCATAGTAGAGGTACTCTAAGGACTAGGGGAAGTGGGGAACAATTTACTTGAAGCACTAGGATATTGTATCTCTATGGTCTATTTCTCTGAATAGGTACAAATTTATTGGAGCCTACCCATTTAGATTTGCCTCTAGGGATGCATATCATATTTGTGGGTTCTTAAGACAACAGGAAATCCTTGGAAGGGGACCCATTATTCTTTGTTGATATGAGGGCAGGAAAGAGGGACAAGGGAGTTGATCTGAGCCAGTCATGTGATTAAAGGGAATTTGCAACTGGTAAAACCTGGTTCTTTGTTCTCTTTTCTAGCTATTATACTTTTAATTTTAATTATTTACTAATTTTTAATTATTAATTTAATAATTGTAATTATTAAATAACTAATTATTTACCCATTTTAAAATTATTTAATAATTTTATTATTATTATACTTTTTTCTCCCTTTCCTAAACTGCATATTAGCTCTAGGAGGCCAGAGGTTCCTTTTATTAAATTTGTCTCTCCCCAAGAATTTAGAACCATGTTCTATACAGTTTGTGTTGGTGTTGGTTGAATTGAATTACATAGATTGTACCAAATGGGCTCTCATCTGAGATCTGAATCATTTTTAATGACTATTCCTAATTTATGTATATGCAGCTTGTAACTGATACTAAATCTATTATCTAGGGCTTGGGTTCTGAGGATGTCTGAATTTAACTTGTTTCCAGAAAATCATCGGGATTTTTCAGTCTTCTGCAAATATCATAACAATAAGCTAAGTTCAGAAAAAGTTAAAAGGGATGAAAGGAAAAGAAACTAACTGAGGTCACCCTTATTCTACATCTTTTAGTTCTTACCCCTCCCCCACCTCTGGCCTTGGGTCAGAACCTGTTCAGGATGGAGGTATGAAGAACTTTGGGGAAAAAGGCGCATCAAAGGGTGAATTTCCAATTCTTTGCCACCACAAAAAGAACTGCTGCAAATATTTTTGTACATATTGGGCCTTTTCCCTTTTCTTTAATCTCTTTGGGATACAGGTACCCAGTGGTATTGTGGTGTCAAAGAGTATGCACATTTTATAGCCCTTTGGGCATAGTTCCAGATTATTCTCCAGAATCTGTTCACTTCTCCAACAACAGGTCATTAATGCACCTATTTCCCCTTGTGTCCTCAAGCATTTGTCATTTCTGAGGTGTGAGGTGGTACTTCAGAGTTGTTTTACTTTGCCTTTCTCTAATCAATAGTGATTTAGAGCAACTTTTCATATGACTATAGATAGCTTTGATTTCTTCTTCTGAAAACTACCTGTTCATATCCTTTGACCATTTATTAATTACAGAATGGCTCTTGTTTTTTTTATCAGTTTGACTAAGTTCCCTATATATTTGAGAAATGAGGCCTTTAACAGAGAAACTTGTGACAATTAAAAAAAAATTTATTTCATTGTCCATGGTACTTTTTGGGCAAAATGTAGTTTCCCTAATTATCTCTTTTTAATTAGGTCTATTTTTGCTTTTGCTTTGTCTGAGGTCCTGATTTCTACCCTTGCCTTTTTTACTTCATTGGAAGAATAATAGATTCTGCTCCAGCCCTTTATTTTAACTCTGTGTGTATCTTTCTTTTTCAAGTGTGTCTCTTGTATGCAACATATTGTTGGATTCTGGTTTCAAATTCATACTGCTATCTGCTCCATTTTATGTGTGAGCTCATCCTATTCCCATTCCCATTCACAGTTATGATTACTGTGTATTTCCCTCCATCCTATTTTCTTCTGTTTATCCTTCTGTCTCTCTTTTTATCCCGTCCCTCTTCAAAAGTCTGTTTTGCTTCAGATCACTGCCTTCCTTAATCCTCCCTCCCTTTTCTCATCTCCTCCTTTATATTTCTGAACCCCTTCCCCTTCTACTTCCCTCTTGAGTAAGATAGATTTCTATACCCAGTTGTGTGTAGGGGTGTGTGTGTGTGTGTGTGTGGTGTGTATTCTTCCATCTTTCACCCAATTCCAGTGAGGTTCAAGCATTGCATGCCACCCAGACCCTCCATTACCCCCTCCACTATAAAAGCTCTTCCTTGCATGCCTTTTTTATTTGAGACAATTTTCCTCATTCTGTCTCTCCCTTCCCTTCATCTCTCAATGCATTCCTCTTTCTCACCCCTACATTTTTTTTGGAGATCATCCCAATGCAATCCACTCACACCCTGCCCTCTGTCTATGTAGACTCCTTCTAACTGTCCTCATAATGATAAAGTTCTTAGAAGTTACATGTATCAGTTTCCCATATAGGAATGAAAACAGTTAACCTTATTGAGTTCCTTATGATTGTTCTTTCATCTTTATTTTTTTGTGCTTCTTTTGAGTCTTCTGTTTGAATGCCAAATTTTCTATTCAGCTCTGGACCTTTCAGCAGGAATGCTTGAAAGTTCTCTATTTCATTGAATATTATTTTTTCCCCTGGAGAATTATACTTGTTTTTGCTAGGTAGATTATTCTTGATAGTAATCCTAGCTCCTTTACCTTCTGGAATATCATATTCCAAATTCTCTGTTCCTTTAAGATGGAAGCTGCTAAATCATGGGTGATCCTGACTGTGGTTCCAAGGTATTTGAGTCATTTATTTTTGGTTACTTACAATATTTTCCTCCTTGACCTGGGAGTTCTGGAATTTGGCTATAATATTCTTGAAAGTTTTCATTTTGGAATCTCTTTCAGGTGGTGATTGGAGGATTCTTTCTGATTTCTATTTTACCCTCTAAATTTGAAATATTTGGTCAGTATCATAATTTCTTGAAATATGATGTCTGTGCTCTTTTTTTGGATATTCAGGTAGTCCAGTAATTCTTAAATTATCTCCCCTTGATCTATTTTCCAGGTTAGTTGTTTTTCCAACAAAATATTTCACATTTTCTTTTATTCTTTTTTCATTATTTTGACTTTATTTTATTGTTTTTTAAAATCTCATGGAATCATTAGCTTCCACTTGCCTGGTTCTAATTTTTAAGGAATTATTTTCTTTAGTGAGATTTTGTACTTCTTTTTCCATTTGGTCAATTCTGCTCTTTAAGTTCTTTTCTTCAGTGAATTTGTGTACCTCCTTTTCCATTTGGCCTATTCTGTTTTTAAAGGAGTTGTTTTCTTCAGTCATTTTGGGTTTTTTTTTGTTTTTTTGTTTTGCCTCTTTTACCATTAGGCCAATTCTATTTTTTAAGGTGTTATTCTCTTTGGTACTTTTTATGCCTCTTTTACCAAGATATTAATTTTCTTTTCATAATTTTCTTTTCTTTTTTCTTTTTTTTTTTTGGGCAATTGGGGTTAAGTGACTTGCCCAGGGTCACACAGCTAGTAAGTGTCAAGTGTTTGCTCTGAGGCCAGATTTGAACTCAGGTCTTGACCTCAGGTCCTGACTCCTGACTTCAGGACGGGTGCTCTATCCACTGCGCCACCTAGCTGCCCCTTCATAATTTTCTTGTATCACTCATTTATTTTCCTAAGTTTTCCTGTACCACTGTTATCTCTCTTTTTTAACTTCTTCCAGGAAGTCTTGCTAGTCTTACGTCCAATTAGCATCTTTCTTTGAGGCTTTGCATATAGCTGTTTTCACATTGCTGTCTTCTTCTAAGTTTATATCTTGATCTTCTCTAGTAGCTTTTTATGATCAAGTTCTTTTCTGTTGTTGTTTGGTCCTTCCCCAGCCTATTTCTTGAC